AAAGCTGTTTTTTGGTTTTTTTTCTCGTCCATCTTTTCTTGTTTAGTCTTAGAAGTCTTAAATTATACTCTTAATCACCCCTACCCTCCCCCGCAAACAAATCTTTCAGAAAAATCGCTTCTTCTTAGACGAACGCTTAGAGGGGAAGTCCTTTTGTTTACTCGCCGCCCAATCTGTGATCCTTCATTAAGTGTATTATTTTATGCTTGAGTTCCTCATAGTAATAACATACATATCATAGCGATTATACAATAGTTATTGTGGCATCAATGATCGCTTCCTATAGCGTTGTTATTTTCATTGTCAAGGGACAACAGAAGAGCCAAGGGAGGGGGATATTGACTTGAAATGCCACGGAAACGTATGGGTTTGACTCCTGATGAGTCTGAAAATAGTGATAGAACCCGCAGGGGAGATGAGGCGCTCGCTGGACTACAGCCAAATCTGAACTTCGGACCATTCTTGGGCTTTTGAAGTCGACGATACAATGGAAACCTTGATCTTTTGTAAAAAGCGACCTATCAGCCTAGTAAGGAGCTGCTGATTGACCGAAGAGGTTAATATTCACTTTTACTGGTATTACCAGGAGTTCAAGCGGGTTCGCTCTCGTTAGAGTTTCATATACCTATGGGATCAGCCGAAAACAAGGCGTCTAGGGTGAATCCTTCTGGTAGAAAAGAGGACTAGGCTAGGTCGACGATAGTAGAAAAACGCACTCGAACGAAGCTTCTCTTTGGAACCGCTACACCTGAGTGTTTCTCTACCAGGTGGCCGCTTCAGCTACGTTCCTTTGCACTAAGCATTCAGTCGTTTCCGCTGCAGACGCCAGGGGGGGGGTGTCGGAAGGCTGGGTTGGCCACGACACCTGCCCTTTTCCAGCAACTTTTGTTGCTTGCCTGTTTCAACAGTTGGCGGAAAACGGGCTAGCACCGCGGCAAATCCAGCCGTCTGACACATCTCAGCGTCTGTAGCGAAAACGAGTGTACTACAGGGACTAATTACCCATGTGAAGAGTAATGAATTAGGTTTTTCTTCTTTTTTCGTCGTAAGGTTTTCCATTTTAGGCCTGTACTCTAACCCTTGCACAGGGTACAGCGTTCGCGTTGTCAGTGTTAGCATCGCTCGGAGGGGGGGTGTTTGGAGGCGGTAGGCAGGCACAGCTGTCACGGAGACTCTCCTGTAAAAGCAATGGACATAAGATGACGCTCAGGGAGTTTTTCACCCCTGGTTTTTGCTTCGTCCTTAGCGCCACCATCTGAGCACAACTACACCCACAAAACGTCTGCGAATGTGGTAGGCGTGGCCTGCCCGTACTTAACTAAACTTGGCTGGTCGCGCTGTGCTTTTGAGAGAGGTCTTTTCATTTTGACTTGATTGTGGTCGTGTCCCTGTCTAACACAGAACAAGATGACACTTGTCTCAACTAAAATAACCCACGAGCAACCCATACTATGTCATGTCCAAATGCCACGCCTACTCCGTCCCAGGGATAAGGAGTACACCTTTAGGCGGGAGCTATATTAGTGTGCCCTTACTTTCAGACCCTGGCTCCAATAGCCCGCTCTCCTGCGGGTCTTCGCGATAAGCAGAAAGTTTTCACCAAACGAAGAACTAAACAGATCAGTAACACAGGCTTCCGAGATTAGAATGTATGATGAGAGAAACACTTTTTGTCACTGTTCATTGAAACAAATAGGGTCCAATCCAGCGGCTCGAATAGTCCATATGAGGGCACGCCTGAGAGGGCAACCAGTGCAAGAATAAATTTTTTTTGAAGCGTGAATCTGATTTACGTATCATCATAGACATTATGATGAAACAAGATAACTCAATTGAGAGTGCCCCTGTTAAGTAAAGAAAACCTCTGAAGATACCTTTTGTGATTAGCCCTCCCTGTCACCTATGCAAGGCAGAAAATGGCCGTGATCCATTGAGTTCTGCTTCAGTATTCCATCCGGGCAAGCGTCTAGGCGTGTTTCGTTATCATAGCGGGCGCGGGCTATAATGAAATACAAATGGTGGCGGTTTAAGCGTAATGAGGAGTTATTCTGCTCGCAGACTAAATGAGTGGGAGTCTGGATTTGCGGTAATTCAAGCTAAGAGAGTTTCCTAAAATCGGGAAAATTATTGAATAGGGAAAACATCGAATGCGGAGCTGTTTTCTGAACAGGCCCGACAAAATCGATCTCTATAATTATTTGCCAAAATCATCTAGGAAAAATAACGCTTTGTAGAGAACGAGTCTTTTTTCTGAAGAGATTTCGTAGATAAACAGTATTTCTATTATTTGAGGCGGCCTGGAAGGAGAAGATTCATCAGAAGCAGTAGAGAAATTTGCAGGGAAATGATTCCTAGACGCTACATATGGATATTACAGTACCTTATTGAGTTTTGAAAAGTATGCATGTAATAGGGCCATATTGATCAAATCACTTCTGCTCTCCATTACTTGCGTAATTCTGAATGTTGGGCGAGTGCATGGCTTATTAATGAAAGTTTACTATTTCAGTTATGTCGGACGTGCAAATTTTTCGACGTTTTCGGCATTGCTTTATCGATGAACATTCTCATTTGTATCTCTCTGGATCGGTTTTATTCGATCTTCTTTCCGCTTTATGCCATGCGAGCCAGAAAAAGCGTCCAAAAAATGGTAATCGTTGCCTGGATTACCTCATTTGCCACCAGTGCCCCTCAAGTGAGTCCTCTGGATCCTCGTTCTCGTTTTTCCTCGCTTGATATTCATTTCACATCAAGCGTGAACGTTAATTCCTCTTTTCGCCCCACAGTTGTATTGGTTTGCCGCCTTTTTTTTTTTTAAGAGCCCTTGACGGAGAACATTGCGTTCCAAGGCGTTTCTTAGCAATATGAGCTTGACGTGTCCCCAGTAATCACAGACGTAAAGGGAATAGGAACATAATATACAGGGGAGGGGGCCAAAAAAAAGACACTTCGACCGAGTCACATATCAGCAAAGTTTTCGCAGCCCAGACAGAAGACGTGGATACGAGTACCAGGGCGGAAGATACCCAAGATGTTCCTCGATAAGCAGGAGCAGGCTCTCGCCCATCACCTTCATGTACACCAAAATATGAAGCCATCTCCAATCGCAACCGGACTGGAGAAGGCCTATGGAATTCACGTCACCTCCAAACAGCTGCGAAACTTCTTGTATGGAGTCACCCATGGATAGCTACTACCTGGAGACCAGTACTCTCGATCTGGAAGACCTCCAACATCGAGCAGCTCCGACAACGTCGCTACGGTCCAGGACATCATCTTCACCGCAGTCGCCAAGGCGCGGGTTGATGGTATGGACCGGACGTACCTGGAATGGAAAGACCGATATTTTCTTCGTGGACCCCGGACTGAAGGTGAGCGCTGGCGGTTACATCGAGCAACTCGAGAAGAATATCCTCCCTACATGTCGTCGCCCGTACCTTCTTGGAAACTTTGTACTGCTACAGGTGGGTGCCACCACATGGAATCGAAGGGCGTTGGAAAAACTCTCGCCTACTTGGAATGGAAGGCGTTGAGTACCTGAAGAAGATGGAATATCAAAGCGGGTCACCTGACCAGAACACCCTCGATTACCGGGTTCGTGCGGAGCTCAACAGGGTGGTCTACAATGGCGGAGAAACCAGCGTGTTGTTGAAAATGATGGTGAAAATGTCCAATCAGAATTTGATAAAGTGTAACTTATATCGCCTCGAAAGTCGCGGAAGAAAAGTTTATTTTTCTGCCCCCCCCCTGCTTTGTCTCGGTGTGAACTTTCGATGGGGATCCCAACTGGTTCCCGTGGTCGCTGCAGCCAAGGGGGTCATGTTTTGCAAATTTTTCCCAAAAGCAGGACGTGCCCTGCTGTGCTCCTACATACTGGCATTTTTCTGAAATTCTTATTTCTTTCGTCTTGATGCTTTCCTCTTCTTAGGCGCAGTATGCCTCGAGGAGGTCTGAGCAGCTTCCAGTGAGGTTCATACTCTGGCGCGACACTTTCACGTAATTCTATCTCCTTAAGAGGGTGCACCCGAGCCGTCTTGACGTGGCTCAGTCTCGCTGGAGACGTGCATCAAAACCTCCTAAGCTAACCGAGTCCATTCCACTGGGGTCGCTCAGCTGGTATACCGCTCCTTTCAGAAAAGAGAGAATGAATCCTTGACTAACTCTCGCACATCCCTGTATGGGCCAAGTCGCATAAAAATCTCGCTGCATGGGCCAAGTCACATAAAGATCTCCCCCTCAATTCAGCATTAGCGTGGAGTTACCCCTAAGTTGTACTAAGCAGCCGACCGGGTGTTCTATCCTTTGCCTTTAAACTGACCGGGGTACCTTTATCTAGTTCGTCTTGATTTTTTTATGCTCAATTATTTTGTGCTATTCATGACTATAATGCTAAGAGTTTGCTTTGACAGGTTCTACCTCTTTACAAACTGCCCACCCGATCCTTGTTTTCCGTCCTTATACCACAATGCGCCTGATCCATCGAAATCTTGGTCAACGAGAATCTCTACAGCGGTAAGATTACTTAACAAGCTAAACTCGATTGTTCAGTTTCAATCTCCTTTTTACCCTACTTTTTTCTGAGAAGCCTTTGATTTTTTTCACTTTTACTCTTTTTTGTTCTATGTTTGAGAATTTTCTGAAAGCGAAGGACGTACGGGAGTAGGGCGATGATAATAGGATCGCCCAGCTCACTCAGGGTAGTCTGTTTGATTCTTTTTACTTATCTTCTCTACTTATGGATATATTACGGTGAGGCTTCCGGATTGACGGGGGGGGGAGTTCTGAGCCATTCAAAGCTTGATTTCTTCTGTGCTTTGCAACAAAAACTTACAACGTTGCTATGGTTTCAAAATGCATCTTTCATCAAACTCAGTGAAGGGGAGCATTGCACGACCCCCCCTATGATTGTTGAGATGTGTACCTTTCATATGGGGCTTGTCCCTTGCAAGGCCATATGACCAGTGGTTCGAAAAGGCTTAGAACTTCATTTTTTCCGTTCTTGTTCTGCAGTTCTGACTCACCCTCGCTACAACGATCCCCCTTCTACCTCAACCCTCCTGATAAGGTTTGCGCAACAATGCCGTGCCAATGCTGCCTGAGATTTACCAGCTTTAGGTTCCAGAATTCAGTTATTCCTAAAAGCATATTGACTTTCCTTACTCGCAGTCTTTTTCGAAATGGTCTTATTCTTCATTTATTATTGATATTTCAGGTCGTTTTCTATTTTTCAATTCTTAATATTGTTCAAGTGTATTTCTTTCCACTGGTTGTCACTGTCGTCTGTTATTCCTTGATCCTCTGGAAGATCTCCGAGGAATCGGCGACAAAGAAGAAAGAAAGTGAGTTCTTCTCCTGGAAGTTTCTCTTTATAGTTTTCCATGAGTTTCTTTAAAAAGGAATGCTGTTTCGTTCCGCGAGTTTCCCAACTATGTAGTTGCGAGTCCCTTTTTTCCTGCTGAGAGGTGGCGTGAGTACCATTCCCACATCCCGGAGATGGGAAGGGCGTGGCTGCGTGCATCGTTTGAACACGTTTTCGTGGGATATTTTCGGAGAACTGTCATCCTGTCTCTGGTCGCTAGCAAATACATGACTAGCATCTGATACCGCTGCATTGCCATTCTTCTTGATCCCATTCAATTCAGTTGCTTATTTGTTTATTCAATTGTTTATCTGTTTTTTTTTATTTATTCACGTATTTGTTGCTTTTTAATCTTTGCACTGCTCAAGTAAATCTTAACGTTAACCCAAATTTTACAGCAGAAGTATCGTCTGATGCGTTATTACGGCGGAGCGGATTGCATACACTGCAAAGAGCACGAAGTCGGACGTTAAGGTGTGTGGTGAATTCATAAGGAGTATCACAGCAATGAGTAGTTTTCCACTCATTGGAATAACTGATTTATTTGATTGATTTACTACATGAGCAAGGCATCATGTTAATAGATCAAAATTCTTGTTAAAGGCACATTCCGCGATAAAAGGCTATGACCTCTCAAATGTGTCGGACGATCCGGAAGGCGATTTTTGAGGCTGCGCTACTTTCAAAATGTGAAAAACGGCAAGAACTCCGCTAGAAGCTGACTAATTAGGCCCATGGACACCCCTTAGGCCCATGCCGACCCTCACCGGCTGCTAGCTACTAGCTAGTAGCCACTATGTTATCTTTCTCTATAACATTTCGGACTGCTTTTTCTGCTGCTTTTCTCCGCTAATACTTAGCACTTTTTTGTGCCTATTTGAGTTCCGTTTCCCGCAATTTGCGGTCGCGAACTGTGCCTTTAAATTACATATCGAGAATTCAGACTCTTGGCCAACCACAACTTGAAGAATAAACTATTCTTTGAGGAACAATCCCCTTTTTGGATGCCCCAAACATACTACTTTCATGAATTATCGTAGAGCTCTATCGTAGAGGCTTATAGAATGTGATAAGGCTTATATAATGACTTGTGGGCCTATTCGGTTTACAGTCCAAGGTTTTGAACCTTTCAAATAAGCCAAACATCAATCTTCCGTCTCTAGAGGGTAAAAGACCCAATGGATCGCACGGAGGACAAGGCAATTCAACTCCAAATCAGCACGTAATCAGCATAGCCAAGTACCGGTGGTCATTTCCCTACCGTTGCGCCTTTCCCACCTACAACTTTGGAAAACTGTAGGGAATCTGGTGGAATAGCCCGATTTTGTAGTGGAATGTAGTGCGCTGAAATGCGATCTCTCGACATCGACGATGTGCTCGATTCCCAAAAGGCACGGCCAAATTCCGCACTTTGTAGAGCATGTTTGTTAAATTTGAGAGAACACGTACTAACTGAGCGAATCTGTGGGCAATTTTTCGCCCAAGGCCAATCTCACCACAACATTTTCCTGATTCATCAACAGAATTTCAGATGTCTCCTGGGCATTTTGATGGTTTTTTCCATCATACTTTTACTCTTACTTTTGACATTTTAACCTAGATGCTCTTTTTTATGTTCACATAAACGCTGTCATCTACGAATTACGGGTGAAATAGCTGCACGTTTTTCCTTGCACATTTGTTCTTCAATAACGATTCTTGCACATATTCTGACTCATCTATGACCATAGAACAAAAGTTGAGGTCACCTTTCTCTACGTGTTAGTTTTGAAGTTTCTCACCCAATCAGCATGCCA